TGTGAATGTTATTTGGCTTGAGCAGATATCTGAAGTGACTCCTCTGCTCAAGAGCTTTCCGAGGAACCAAGTATCGCTTCAATCGGAGCACGAACAAGAAAGTTACGAACGTTGGAGTTCGTATGCTTTTGATATTTGGTTGTGGTGACTATGGGAAGTTGTGGGGTTGACTCAATATGGGGTACAGACTTTTGAGGGTTGGGAAATTCGTCTTTTCTACTGTAGTTGCTGCCAAATGGTTGGGAGAAACCAAACCAGGCTGGCAAGTGTGGCCAAGTTGGGTTGAGGTGGATTGTGGAGGTTGGGATAGTGACAAAGGTCAAAGTTGGGTTGCCTATGGGGAAGGGAATTGTATGGCATGGGGTTTCCTTGGTTGGGGACTCTCTTGGGACCTTCCCTCTCGTCCTCCTCATCCCTTCCACCTGGTTTAGTGCTACTCCAATTCTCTTGTGTGAACTTGTGTGAACTTTGTGATTGAGTTAAGATTCTATGGCAGCATACCCCCTAGTGCGCCGAAATTGATTGCTCAAGAAATACTTCACCTTTTCGCATGATTCAACTTGGGAATTGTAGCCACGGAGTAGACCTACAACATATTTGAATTTGATGAAGTTTTCACGATGAACTTTTTGTCGACGGCGTTTCTTGTGAACTCGACTTTTCTGTTCAGAAACTAGGCCCAACGATGTTGAGATATTTTTGCTACTAATCTTCATAGACTCCGTCCTCAGTCTCTAACACACGCTGGGAGAATCGGCCGGCGCGTGCAGCTGGGGGTCGATACTATACCATGCAGCCAAACATTCGTAACATTTTTGTGTTGCCCAGTTTTCCTGTCCACAGCAGATGCGGTGATGCGTTGTTCGGAAGCGATGATGTCGAGAGCAAGTTGTGCAGAGGGACAGCGTGGTCCATCGCCTCAGGCCACTGGTGGTTAGGTAGCCGCATGCCACGTAGCAGTTTGCGCATGGTGTTCTGCTACACCTTGCTGTTGATGAGCGTAGGGAAGAGAGAGAGTCTCTTGATGCCTCTCTCTCTGCCAGGTACTATATGAACTTTTGTGATGTATATTCTCCTCCTCTGTCTGACTAGAAACTTTTCAGTTTCACCCCTGACTCACAATCTGCTACTGGAAGCCAGGCGACGAAGGCTTCGAAGGCCATGTCGCGACTCGGAAGGTTAAGGTGCTAGACATATCGTGTGGCGGCGTCGATGAAGGTGAGGACATAATTGTACGCTCCTTGACCGGGCTCGCTGTTGTATAGGATGTCGCTGTAGAATTTCTCCAGGGGTGCGTATGCTGGTGCGCTTGGGTTGTGGTGAGGAACGAAGGGCTGATGCAGTAAGTCGGCTTTGGGGCAGGTGAAGCATGTTCCTCGCATTCGTTGAAGTTCCTTTCCATCGGGTAGGAGTAGAGAGTCTTTGTCGAGTACGCCTGCTCTTATTGTGTTGTTGAACGTCGTGTTGCTTGGGTGTCCCATTCGTGCATGCCAGATATCTTCGCCAGCTCGATGTCTGGGTGAGCGACGGTATAATTCGGAGTTGGAGTAGAAGCCTGCGGTGAAGTTTGGGCTTCGGTGGACTTCTCGTGATGTTGGATTCAGTTGCTGTGCGGGAGTCGGTGAAGTGTCGTCATCGATTGGGTCTGGTGTAGTTGAAGGACCCGCGATTGGTGCCAATGTTGTCTCTGCTGCTGCCGATGTTGTCTCTGCCGTTGCCGATGTTGTCTCTACTGCTGTCGTTGTTGTATCTGCTGCTGCCGATGTTGTCTCTGCTGCTGCCGGTGTTGTATCTGCTGCTGCCGGTATTGTCTCTGCTGCTGCCGATTGAATTGTTGCTAATGCTCTTGTTTGTTCTGCCTCTGGAATAGTGCGCGAATACAAGAAGCCGCTCGGACTGAAGTCGAGATCAAGATCCGGCGGATGTGTCCAAGAAGTGAAGTTGACGATGGCGTCGCTGTCGGCGGTGCCTAAGTCTGGAACGAAGTCGAGGACGAAGACGTTGTTCTTCAACACCGCTTTCCCGATGTAGAGTCCACCTCTCCCGTGGAACAGCTTGAATTCTTGGGTGGTGCTGTCTGCTTCAAGGTGAATGCCTTTCGCCATCAGTTGACTAACACTTAGTTAGTTGTAACCGAGTCCCTCCGCAATTAAGACTTTTGACATCTGCAGCATAACGTTCGTCTCTCGTGACTGAAGTTGAACTATGCCTTGTCGTTTTGTGCGCAGATTCTGGTTGTTGGCGACGGTGATGATGACTTCGCGTTGGAGTTGATGTTTTCGTTGGACGAAGCGACCCGAGGAGCACATGTGTTGTCCGCGGCAACTATCCAAGAACCAGGTGTCTTTCCCGGACGGCTCGCTCTGGGCGATGGCTACGTATGTCGGGTTCGGCTCCAGTGTTTCACGGCGAGGAGTAATCTCATCGAGCAATTCTTCTGGTGAGTAGTGTGGTGGTGACTCGGTGATGCAGGAATCTGACAGCCTCGCCATGCAAATCAGAATATTTCTTACTCCTTGTGCAGGTTTTGAAGTCTGCGTCTGACTCGTGGGATGCGCCTGTGTGGATGCCACTTGGCTGCTTGAAGGTCGAAGCTGTCGTTGTGGCGTCGTTGACTATCGCAGACTCGGACAGTGTGTACGGGGATGTCCAGACGTCTTGCAGAGATGACAAAACGGTGGTACGTGCTGCTGCTGTTGTTGCTTGTTCTGTCGGTTGGAGTTGTTGAAGCGCCGTTGAGTGTGGAATGCGAACTCAGGTACTGATGTCTTCCTCTTGTGTCGTTCCTCATGCAGGTCCATGTCTTGCTGTTCGGCGTGAATTTCGGCGCAGAGTGCCGCTTCGGAGATCTTCCCGTGGGCTCGGAGAATAGCTCGAGTGCAGCGCCAATGAGGACCAAGTCCAGTGATGACGACTGTAACGAAGGCTTCTTCGGAGATTGACCCTCCGCATCGAAGGAGTTTGTCGCGTAGTTCGCGGTAGCGGCTGATATACGCCATTCCCTTTTCGCCTGGTTTCATTTCAACTGTTGTTAGCTGTGCCATTAGTCGACTCTGATTGACACTGTCTGTTGCTTGATACAGGTTCTTCAAGTGGTTGTACGCGAGCTCTGCGGAGTTGCCGTATCCCCGATAAGAGCGGATGTTCTGCTACTAGTTTGTCGTCAGATTCCTCAGCAGGATTGTGTATGCCATCATCGACTGATATGTGTACTACTGCTTGTCGTATTGCGTTCCGTGTGTTCGGTATGGCAGGGACCCGTCGAAGAATCCGAGAATTTGTGCGCCTTCCATCATCAGCTCGAATTCGAATGACCAAGTGAAGAAGTCATTTCCGTCGAATGGACTTGACATCTGCAGCTTCAAGACGTGCGCGGACTGTGACTGAACCTGAAGCGCATCCAATGTTTTCTCTTGTCCAGGTGAAGGCTGCGGCATAAAGCTGATGAAGCCGCGCTGGGGCTCGTACGGAGCAAAGGTAGGCTGCTGCTGCTGATTTCCGCGCGCGTAGGATGAACCGTCGAGACTCATGGGTGTAACGTCGTTGTTGTTGTTGCTGATGTTTGACTGCGCAGGTGCCGCTTGTTGGTGTTGTTCGTAGAAGGAAACGAAGGAGGAGAATTTCTCCATCATGCTTGGGTCGAAGCCTGTGGCTTGATTTGCGGGAGTTTCAGTAGACCCGGCTGCTGGTCTTGTTGCCGTACCCTCCTCTGTCTGTAGGTCAGAGGCAGGAGGTGGAGTAGGAGTAGTACCGGGAGAGCCGTTAGAGGAGCTTCTCTCCTTTTGTGTTGCCATGCCTTCTGATGTTGTGGGTGTCTTGATAGTGGAGTTTACCCTGACTGCTCTCATACCATGTTGGGCTGAGAAAGCCCTTTGGAACTTTGCAGGACTAAACTCTGGGTAGGAATGTTGTAGTTTGCGGAAGCGTTTAACAATTATTGAACCACCTTGCGCTAGTATGTGAGGGCAAAGTAGATTGATTAAAACAAAGAGATACAAGGTTTTATAAGAGCACAAGGAATACGACGAGATACAGTTAATAACAGTTTTACTATTGCTGTTGCGGTTCGATACATCGACGACTCGGGCAACTGCTCAATAATGAGTCAGTTATTTGTCCTTGCTGTCGCGCTGTAATCGTCAGGTCAAAGGTCGCTGACCTTTGACTTTCGCGTAACCTCCAGCAGTTACTCAACCTCCGAGGGCTGACTCGCCGATGCTTCGCTGTGTTTCGCTTCGCTTATGACTTAGTGTTTCGACACGACAGATGCGCTTAAATCACTTGTTTCCAACACATGGCACATTGGGCACAAACAGAGGAAAAGCTTGAGTGTTGTGAACATATTGCGCATTGGCCGCATTCTCTTTCAACTCAGCATTAGCGCTGTTCTGCTGGCTGGCATTCTTTCCGTCGCGCAAAATGAAAAGGTGGTTAGTTTCCTTCCATGTTTCTGCTCGTATTTTTGTGGGCGTCTCGTCTTGTGGGCGGCGTAGGTGATGTGGTCGGTGGGCATGACTGCCAGCTTCACGAGCTCCTCCGGGTCCTTGGGGCGAGGGAAGCGAGGGTCGCTGTGAAACACACGGCACACACCCGCCTGCCCACTGCTGCCGCTGCCGCCACTGCTGCTGCTAACTGATGCATTTTCTTCCTTTTCCTCGGTTGATTTCACGGCGTCCAATAGCAGTTTGCCATGTGACCTGTCAAACGGTTCCCAAACCAAACAGGTATGCTGCTCATGGATGTCAGACATGAAAGGGATGCCGTGCACAATCAATGACCTGTATTTCACTCTGCACCGCCTCAGGTTGATTGTCCTCATGCACTGCTGGTGAGGGCTCTTCAGGATGGGTCTGCCCAGCAAGATTCCCTCTAGATTGGGTCTTTGCAGCATGGGTCTTGCGGCCCGTACCGTGTTGCTACCTGCTCCCAAGGAAAGGTATGGGAGTGGAGACCTGGCGTCACGAGACAAAGGGGATGCCCGTCGGCACCGAGGCGGCGTATCATGCGTACTCAAGGCCAAAGAACTGGTGCAGATAGAACTCCTCGTAGCTGCATGGATGGGGGGAGGGGAGACCATTAGGGCTGGCACGATAAGACACCCACGCACCGAGGCACCGAGGCACCGAGGCGGCGTATCGTGCGTTCTTAAGGCTCAAGAACTGGTGGAGGTAGAACTCCTCGTAGCTGCGGGGAGGGGAAAGAGAGGGGGGAGTAGGGGCACAGGAGCAGAGGAAATAGCACGATGAGTTTAAGGGAATGCAGGATGGCACCAAGGCAGTGCGTACTCATGGCCAAACACCTGGTGCATGTAGAACTCCTCGCAGCTGGGGGGGGACGGGGGGAGGAGCACGGGAGCAGAGGAATTAGTGTGACGAGATGAAGGGAATGTTGGAAGGCACTGAGGCAGCGTAATGCGCGTACCGAAGGCAGAAGACCTGGTGCAGATAGAACTCGTAGTAGCTTGGGGGGGGGGGAGGGAGAGAGGAAGGTTGGGGGTAGGGGGAGGGAGAGAGGAAGGTTGGGGGTAGCGAGAGGGAGGGCCATGGGGGTAGAGGCACGGAGGCTGCGTATCGTTCGTACTCAAGACCAAAGAACTGGTGCAGATAGAACTCCTCGTAGCTGGATTTGAAAAAGGGGGGTGGGGAAAGAGGGGACATGGGAGCAGAGGCATTGCGCATGCTGGAAGAACTGGTGCAGATAAAACTGCTCGTAGCTAGGATGAGGGGGAGGGGAGAGCAGAGGGGGTGGCGCGATGAGACGAAAGGAACGCAGGAAAGCAGAGAGGCAGCGTATTGCGCGTACTCGAGACCAAAGAACGGGTGCAAGTACAGGTCCTCGTAGCTGCAGCAAAGAGGGGGGGAGGCGGGAGAGAGAGGGGGAGGAAGGGGGGGGGGGGGGGGGTGGGGCACGGAAGCAGAAGGTGTGCAGCATGAGATGGGGTGGGATGGCAATGGCGTGTGTGTGGGGCACTGGAGTGCAGCAAGCTGGCGGGAGGCGCGAGGTAGTGGAGAGATTGGGACATGGTGGTGGAAGGGCACGGGCGATGAGGAAAAGGGAAAGGGGGAGAAGGAAACAAGGGAGTCTTGAAACAACAGCTGAGTGGGATTAGGTTTGGGGGATGTAGAATTTAGGTGCATGAACAGTCACCATTCGTCGAAGGCATTTGAGAATTCTCAAAAGCAATTCATCAATGCAACCTTCCCATCACCAACGCACCCTCGCATCTCCCTCTACACAATGAGGCACTAGGAGTTGAGGCCGATTCACGGTCGTGCAGGTCCTGCTCCAGGCCGACTGAACGCACAGGGTAACTCACAGGATGCCTGCACAAGCAATGGGGTAACTCACAGGATGCCTGCGCAAGCAAGGGGGTAACTCATGGGATGCGCACGGCAAAGAAGCGCCGGGAGACGAGGGCGACCCACGCTACTGGAGGCCCTGCCCCAGTCCGTCTGAGCCTGCAGGGTAACTCACTGGACGCCTCTGTGTCCACGGGGTAATTTATGGAATGCCTCTTGGCCCACAGGGTAAGTCATGGGATGCCTCTAAGCCCACAACTCACAGGATTACTACTCAGGCAAGGGGGCAACTCACGAGATGCGCGCAGCGAAGAAGCTCCAGGAGACGAGGGCGAAGGCGAGCGGAATGCCCTCCGTGACCACAGGGGTACTCACTCACGAATTGCCCTCTGCGCACACACGATGACTCACGGGATGCGGGCGGCGAAGAAGCGCCAGGAGACGAGGGCGAAGGCGAGCGTGCAGAGGGGGTTGACGAGCAGCAGCTGCGTGGCTATGCTCCACATGAACCACCCCGTGTAGCCCGGATGCCGCACCCACCTGTCATGGGCATGTGGGGAACATGGGTACGGCACGAGATGATCGCATATGAGATTCGTGAATTTTCTAAAGGAGCTGCTTGGCGATGCTCCACATGACCCACACCGTGCCTGGGTGCCGCTGCCGTGGGCATGAGGGAATGTGGGAGGGCATGGTTGCATGTCACCCACATCATGCTCCACATGGAGCATCCATCTGCAACCGTGGGGTGGACACTGTGTGGGTGTTGGCGCACAAGCATGCAGTGCTTGCTTGCAGTGCTTGCAGTGCTGGCAGAGGAAAGTGCAGTAACTCGCTCGTGCAAACAGGCACCTCAAGACCCAGCATGCATAAGCACCCTCCCAGTACTTGCCGCTGCTGCCGTTTCAGACGACTCGTGGCTGAGCTCATAAGAATACCCCAGCATCCCCCATCTGCCTTCGCGCCCACCACAAGAGCAAGCGGAGCGCCTAGCCAGTGCCCGTGCCAGCATGAGCCTCAGTCGGCACTAGAGCACCCAGTCGCCCATCAACCGCCCACCTGTACAGCCCGTGTGTGACCACTCTATGTTCGCGTCTTTTCTCCTCCGTCTGAATGTCATGAGTGAATCTCCTCTCCGCGGTCACTCGCTGCCTTGCGCACCACCAGCGCCCCCAGATTCTCCCAACCACCAGAACTCTCACCTGTAAAGCCCGTGTGTGACCAGTCGATGTTCGCGCCGCTTCTCTGTGTGAATATCATGAGTGAAGCTCCGCCCCGCCGTCACCATGGCTGCCTTGCACACCGCTTCCCCCGCCAGCAGCAGCGCCCCCCCCCCCACCCACGCCACGGGCCACAGGCGGCGCTTGAAGGCGGGGAAGAGGGTGGTCTCAAGGGCGTATTCAGTGAGCGCTGCTGCCATGGCCAGCAGATACTCCCGCGAGAAGAGGAACGCTGCATGGCTAGCGGGAGGTTGGGAGGGATGGGAGTGGGGGAAGAGTGCGTGGGGAAGAAGGGGAAGGGAACTCTGAACATACCACCACCCCACACACCACACCAGCAGCAGCAGCAGCACCGCCGCCAACACCAGCGCCCCCCCCAACCCACGCCACGACTTTTGAGGCGTCTCAAAAAGCGCCCCCCCACCCACGCCATGGGCCACAGGCGGCACTTGAAGTGGTGGAGAGGGATGGGAGTGGGGGGGGGGGTGGGTGGGGGGAAGCGAACTTTGAACAGATCGCCAGCAGAAGCAGCAGCTCCCCCAGCAGGGGTGCCCCCACAAGAGCGCCACGAGCCACAGAAAGGGGCAGGGCGTGGGAAGGGGAACGGAGCAGGATGAGGCTGGGCGGGAGGGTGATGAGGGGAGAAGAAGAAGATGAGGGATGAAAGTGGAGGGATATAAGGAGGAGGGGAGAGGCATTGCAGCGTCGTGAAGGGAAGCTCCTCCTGTGAGACAAAGATGGGAGGAGGGAGGGCTGGAGGGAGGGGATGGGTAAGGCTGGAGGGATGCGAGAGTGGAGGCGCACTGAAGTGTCAACACAGCGCCGCCATCAGCGCCCCATCAGCGCCCCATCAGCGCCGTCATCAGCGGCCAATCAGCGCCCTCGCCAGAGCCGCGGAGGAGGGGACGGGTCGGCGAGGACGGGGTGAAGGCGACGTGAGCGAGAAGCGAAGGGCACGAGCGAGGGGCGAGGCGAGGCGAGGGGAAGGCGAGACGAGGGGAGGGGAAGGCGAGGCGAGGCAACGCGAGGGGAAGGCGGGAAGGCGAGGCAACGCGAAGGGGAAGGCGGGAAGGTGAGGCGAGGCGACGCGAGGCGAGGGGAAGGCGCGAGTCGGCGTACATCGGGCGTGGGGTTTGCCGGTGGACCAGAGCGCGAGGAGGAAGGCCGAGTTGAGGCGGGGGAAGGGGAACATTGTGTTTGGTACGTATCTACTACAGTGGGAGGCGAGACGAAGGGACGCACATCGGACGTCGGGTTTGCCGGTGGACCAGAGCGCGAGGAGGAACTCGGAGGAATGGAAGAAGACGAGCGCCGCGAGGAACGCCGCCAACATCGTGACGAAACGACGCGCAATTGCTCGCTTGCTTCCCTCGAGGATTTTACTACACGAGACGACGCGGTCGCTCGCTTGTATCCCCCTAGGTTTTTACTCCACGAGACGATGCGATCGCTCGCTTGTTTCCTTGGATCAGTACAGCTCGAGTGTGACGCGCTCACTTGCTTGAGAGGCGTAAGACTTTTGAGGCTCAGAAGTCGGAAATTTTGAAGACGACGACCGCCGCTGCGAACGCCGCCATCATCGTCACGACGAGGCGCGATATCGGTCAGTTTTTCCGTTCGAGGCTTCTACCTCTTTATTGACACTATAGTAAATGTACAATGGATACAAGGCAAATCCAGAGACATAGTGTATGGAGAGACATGGAGGCTAATCCTATTGTGAGGCCTACAAATAGGCAAAGTCAGCTGCAGAAAGAGAAGTCACCTCGGGTGGTGCGTGGTTGACGCCCTCGGAATTTGTGCACGACGACTAACAGTGCGAGCCTGCTCACGTTGATGGACCAGAGAAATCCGTTGTAGACGTTGGTCTCAAACAGTGTGAGCAAGTAGGGCGGGTTTCTATCCCGTGTCAGACACGAAGCCAGACACGAAGTTGAGGTTGGGAGACCCAAAGGGACTCGGAATGCTGACATATTTAGGTTCAGAAGACACAAACCGAGGCACTTTGTTTCTTCCGAAGCTTTGACCTGGGTCTGACACGGGTTAGAAACGCGCCCTTGGGCTACTGGAGACTGAATCAGATGGGGTTAGTTGGTCGTCTGGACTAACGGACGACTTGCGACAGGGATAGGGCAGGTGATAGTTGCGATTAACGAACGAATTTCGCGAAATGAATTTAGGAAAGCCGCTCAGAAGTTCCATCCACCCCCTTACCAAACGATTAAGCCATAAAACCGCTCTGTAACGCATACCACTCGTCTCCATGCTTCCTGTTACCAGCATCGCACTCGGTTCACCAAACCACGCCTCAGATTCTTTGGCACCGTATTTAAACGTGAGATATCCATCTAAATCAAATTGTCTGGACAACTTCAGAAGAACGCTGTTCCAGAATCCGTTTTTTAACGTGAGATATCCATCTGAACCGCATTGTTTGAACAACTCTAGAAGAATGCAGCAGTCTATCTTCGAATCCCAAGGTTCCCCTTCCCTCCACTCCCACCCAAGTCCAGTCACGCTCACGCTCACCTCTAATCAGGTTTCCTGAAATTGGTCGCGCTACCTACGTTCATCGTTCCTCAGCCAACGACGAAAACCACACCGAGATTGGCTTTCCCGCCTCAAAGCTTTCTGCAGCCCTAGAAACTGTCAGCCCACTCACGATGTGGAAAGGCCATTGTCATTTCGATCAAATCCACAGATTAGCAATGGAAGTAGTCTCGAGGTTAGGTTTCCCGCCTCACAGCTTCCTGTGCCCCTGCAGGCTGCCTGGCCTCTCACGGTATGACAAATCGGTTGTCACCTTGGTGGCATTCGAACCACATCAGTACGGCTAGGCACGGAAAAAAAAAAAAAGTATCTGGCTGATTCCGAACGTCCCACCGTCGCTCGTGGATCTACCGAACCAATGCACACTCCTTTGCCACTTTCCTGCTCACCTTTCGCCCATTGGACCTTCGCTGGGATCCAGAAGTCCGTCACACTATAGATCACACCACCACGACTTACCGCTCATCATTTTGACTCGCATCAATCGTAGATCCAACACTTGAATGTTAGTTGCTCTACATTCGCCACCCTTCGATCCCATCTCTTACGTGGTCCGCTAGGTTTGATCCGCCATGGACACGCTTCTCGGCGACCTCCTTTACGGCATTCTGCGCCGCGCCGAGCCAACAGGGCCTCATGTATTACTAGTGCAGATGGCGTGCCTTTCGAAAGCGCTGAATCGCATGGCAAAGGAGTCCCTATGGCAGCTGAACTGTCGGGAGAAACTCTCTCAGCTCCTTGAGAACAAAATTCGGGTTCAGAATCCGAGCGGCGACGATGAGTTTGAAGCATCCATGCGCAAACATTTTCGGCTCATGCTGGAGCAGATGATCGGGGTGGACTTTAGAGCCCTCGCACAAGTTATCCACAGGTGCCCTGGCGTGAGAAGGGGTTGGCGAGTTCCAGGAGACGAGCATGAGTGTGACAGTGATAAGCCGCACATGCGCTTGCATGGGCCCGCCAGGCTAATCCGTTTTAATTGTATGGCTTTTACCATTTGGTGCTTCTGTCATCAGGACGGACAGGATGATTTGAGTCTTAAACAAGGACTTTATGTTGGCCCCAACCTTGACTTGTAAGTCCACCACTTCTGCTCGTGCTTCATGTTAATGCTCTTTCTTTCGAGTGCTCTGCTGCGTTATTTTCAGTTTTTCTAGAACGGTCTTGTTCATTGAATTAAAAAGGCATGTAGAGCAAACGTGGTAAGCCGTGCAATTCTATCAAGGACTAGGCAAGGCTACTTGGAAAACTAGGCTGGCAAGTAGGTGCACGGGTGCTACGGGTAATGGCAAGGGATAGAGGGGATGAGGGAGGAGCGCGAGAGAACTGGGGTATGGGGATGGTAAGCGAGGTTTGTACACCAACCAGCCAGCCTGTCAATCAAATATCAGGCCATCAGGGCGCCCTTTGTGGTGTAGGGTCCAGGGACCCTTGGGCCTCCTGGACCTAGAGGAGGTCCGCAATGAACCACGTGCTGATTGCCATTTGGAATCTGCTAGGTAGGCTTTAGTGAAGAGGCCACAATCCAGAGGTTTATTTCTGAAGAAGGATTGTTACTCGTTTTACCGTCTCCCCCCGGATATAAGCGCCACCCTAGGATAAGCGCCTGGCGCTTCTAATTGGCATATGGCGCTTATATCCCCTCCTCGATTATAAGCGCACCCCTTGAAAAAACTTGTTTTATTATAAGCGCACGTAAACTTTAAAATTTGAAATGTGTTCAAAAAGCTGTAACGATTTTTACTTTAGCAGGCGGATATGTTGCAGATTCGGTTCCCTTCACATTCGGACCCTGCACTGGATGCGGGTCCAGTCAGCAGGACCTGTCAGGAGCTGGATGTGAGTCAGATTGGGTGTATCTCCCAGCGCGCGCGAGAATTTCACAGACGATCCCATGTAACTTCGACTCGATTGAAAAGGCAAGCACGAGACCTACAGTTTGGTGTTAAAAGATATAAAAAAATATGTATGTCATTTTATAAACGCCGGCGCTTATAAATTTACTCGATTATAAGCCCACCCCCATGAAAAAACCTGTTTTATTATTGCCCCCCATGGGGGTATATCCGGGGGGAGACGGTATCTCCTCACGATATCCTTTTTCTTGCCATCAGGCGGCATTATACACATACCAGTCGCTCCTCCGTGCAATGCAAGACGAGTCCTGCCCTTTCTGCTCTTCTAAGGTGTGTCTTGCCCGCTGTGCCATATCTCCATTCCTCACCGTGTTTACCATGCGCCATTCACCATGGACCATTCTCCCCTCCCAACACATCTATCCATTCCTCCTCTGTGGGCTTCCCTCCCCCTAGCTGAGAACGCGAATGCTGAGTCGACTCCTCCACACCAGAGGCAGTGACACCCACTTCTGCACCCATTCTGTTCTAATCTGATCTCATCTGATCTGATATGATATGATCTGATGTGATCTGATCTGATGCCATGCATGTCAACCAAGCTGCCCCAGTATCGCTTGTGGCTGTGTAAGTAAGCTACCTGTTTCCATCCATGACATGCTGTTCACAGAGAGACTGTTCCTCTGACTGTGCACTGGTGGGCGTCACTTGAATTGTTGTATCATGATGGATCATTACACACAATGCTTATGGTAGGTACCGTATCACCCCGGATAAAAGCGCAGGTGCGCTTATAATAAAACAGTGTTTTTTAGGGGGGTGCGCTTTTAATTGAGTCATTTTTATAAGCGCACGCGCTTATATAATGACATCTACATATTTATGATTTTAAGACACCAAATTGCATATTTCACTCTTGCCATTTCAACCGAGTCAAAACATTTCGCGTCACAAAACAGAATCGCGTGCAAGCGATTCCCTTTCAGCACACAGGGGCCAAGATGCGACTCTTTGCAGTCATGCCAGCACATCCTGACTCGACGCGCAGCCAGTCAGGTCTTCGAGAGTCAAGCTACGCGAAATTGAGATTGCACTCGCTTCAAAAAAGAGATTCGCTACCGTTTTGAACAAAAAAAATATTGTATAATTGTACATGCGTTTATACCGTATAGTTCCGGCTAGAAGACCCGGGGGACTCTCTACAAATGCTGGAAATTGTGCTTGGGTGGACATTATGGCGGCAGCAATTTTTTAAGACCCGGGGTAACCTATTTGTCAATTATCAATCTGATATTTAGGGTGTACGACTCAATTTGGGGTGGGGGGGTCTTATATTCGTAACGAATTCGCGAAAATTTCACGCGTGCGGCGCGTCAGATCTGTGTCAGAATTCGAGTCTGACACAAATGAAGTGTCAGAATTCGAGTCTGACATAAAAAGCGTGTCAGAATTCGAATTTACACCAGTAAAAGCTGACGCACAATATCAATTACAACTACTGTATACAGAAAAGGGGGGTCTTATGATGATTAGAGGCGAAGGGGGGGTCCTCACAAAATCGGCCACAATAAGAGTCCCCCTACCCATTCAAGAGTCCCGGGGGACCTTCTTACCGGCGGGTCTTCTAGCCGGAACTATACGGTAATAAGTTAAGTTTTCAAAGGGGGTGCGCTTATAAATGAGGATCGGCCATAAGCGCATTGCTCCAGATAGAAGCGCATGCGCTTATCATAGGCCTGCGCTTTCATCCGGGGTGATACGGTAATTCATCCTTGCTGAGTTCACATTTTACCCTGTTGCAAAGCACTTTCGGTGCTACACACTGACGATCAGTCAACAAGGGCCTCCTGATTGTTGTGACGTGTGATGCATTATAGAGTTTTATTGGCAGTTTTAAATGTGCATGGGCCGCACCGCATAGCATACAAAATTGCCATCGAATACAATGTAGACAGGAGGGGAAACCCCCCCCCACCAGAAACACCATCAAGCATACTGTAAAGGATCCAGGTTACACTCAAAAGCATCTTTTCTTGTGGCGTGGAGCATTGAAGCGCGGACCAACAGAGCCCACTGCGATCCTTTTTTGGCTGCAAGCACGAGGATACATGGCACGAGATTGCGTTGCATGGTATGGCAGAGCAGAGCAGAGCGCACGGGTGCTGTGTGTGGCACACCGACACGCAAATGCATGCGCTGTACGACAAGGCGTGGCATGGCATGCTATTGAGTGAATGGTTGTGCAGTTCCTGAGGGATGGTATGTAAGGGCATGCGTTGTATAATTGACAAGCGGTAACCGTTATGAAATCAAGCTGGACTGGGAGAGATGGTGGTTCCAGTGCATGCATTTGACACATATTGGACATGGACGCATGATAGACACAAATGAGACATACAATTGAGTACCGTACATGGACGTGGCAGAATGAAGCAAGGTTGAATGAGCACGAGGCACGGCATGAATGGGTACGAGTCATGGCACAAATTGAGTCAGGCGACACGGCATAAGTGGGCACTGCATGAGGAGCGTAGCAAGGCTTACGGTGATGCATCGGCGTCGTCACTCATGGGTTGATCCTCGTCCATGGTGGGGGGCCCTTGCTGCACGCCTTTGCCTTCTATTGGACAACGCATGGCATGTGATTGTAACGATGCCATGGGCTGCCGTGGTTGTAATGATGCCATGGGCTGCTGTGGTTGTAACGATGCCATGGGCTGCTGTGCTTGTAACGATGCCATGGGCTGCTGTGGTTGTAACGACGCCATGGGCTGCTGTGGTTGTAACGACGCCATGGGCGGCTGTGGTTGTAACGATGCCATGGGCTGCTGTGATTGTAACGATGCCATGGGCTGCTGTGATTGTAACGATGCCATGGGCTGATGGGACTGCAGTGGTGCATGCGCTACATCTCGCCCGGTTGCTGCCAGCACTGCACACGTGCCCTCAGGGAGACACCGCTGCTGCAATGCTACAGCCTGTTCTGCTACAGCCTGCTGCTGCTGCTGCTGCTGCTGCTGCTGCTGCTGCTGCTGCTGCTGCTGCTGCTGCTGCTGCTGCTGCGCTGCTATGGCTTGTTGCCACTGGTGGTGGGATAGAGCCCGCATCCCCACCCTCCCACAGCATGCACATGCACATGCACAAACCGAAGCAGACAGTAACACACACACACACATCCAGGCCCATGGCGCGGTTGGAATCAATGCTCGTGACAGACAGGCATTGCCCTCATTTGCGGTACACTGGTTGGCATGGAGACGTGGGCAGGAGGACTGTTGCAGTGAGGTGCCCATCCCCTTCCACTAGACCCGCAACGCAAGCACCACACACCATGCACCACACACCATGCACCACACCGCACAAACACACCAAAACATCACAACACAACAATCAGACCAGCAACACATACGATGAGTACGTATACACGATAACAGTAACGACGCCACTCCACTAGTCTACCACCATGTCACCATGCCTGCACACTAGCACGCCACCCACACAGCCATCCCACCTGATCCAGTCGCTGTGCAGCAGCCTTCTCGGGCTCCAATCTGACTGCCCATGAGAGGTGGTGGCATGGCGGTGGTGGCATGGCGGTGGTGGCATGGCGGTGGTGGCATGGCGGTGGTGGCATGGCGGGCGGTGGCATGGCGGCGGTGGCATGGCGGGTGGTGGCATGGCGGGCGGTGGCATGGGGGGGGTGGCATGGGGTGGGTGGCATGGGGGGTGATAGCACTGAATGGCTAGAACGCATGGGTACACAAAATGGTTACATATACTGGTCGCAAACGTTACACAGTGAGAGGGTGGGGAACGGCTGTGTGTGGGTGGCAGGAGCAGCGGGGGCATTGTTACAGAGAAGGTGTGCTGTGGAAGTGCTGTGGAAGTGCTGTGGAAGGGTGAGTGGAGGGGTGAGTGGAGGGGTGAGTGGACGGGTGAGTGGAGGGGTGAGTGGAGGGGTGAGTGCAGGGGTGAGTGGAGGGGTGAGTGCAGGGGTGAGTGTGGGGTTGAGTGTATGAGCGCAAGGGGAGGATTGCGGGGAGGCCATACCAAGGGCAGCTTGGGAGCGGGGGTCAGCAGTGTGCAGGTGGATGGTCAGCAGTGTGCAGGTGGATGGTCAGCAGTGTGCAGGTGGATGGTCAGCAGTGTGCAGGTGGATGGTCAGCAGTGTGCAGGTGGATGGTCAGCAGTGTGCAGGTGGATGGTCAGCAGTGTGCAGGTGGATGGTAGCTGTGGTGCACAGCACAGCACAGTGCAGAGGCGAGGCATAACGGGTAAAGAGAATCAAAGCATGGTGCGGAGCTTTGTACTCACCGAGGAGGTGAGTGTGGGTGGGTGGGGGCATACCAAGAGCAGCTTGAAAGCGGTGGCCTGCGGTGTGGCGGTGCATGGCTGCTGCTGTGCGAGCGATGGTGCTGCCTGTGAGGGCGCACTGCAGATGCGTGCTGCCTGTGAGGGCGCACTGCAGATGCGTGCTGCATGGAGGGATGGGAACGGAGAGGGTTGAATGGCCGGGGTGGGATGGATGGGATAGGTTGAAGGCGATTGAGGAGTCAATGGCAGCAGAACGAGGATTGGATTGGAAGGGAGGAGGCGTGTGCACACTGTGTATACTGTTGCATGGGGCACGGTGGCATGGTGGTGCTTGTGAGACGTGCATGAATGTGGATGGGGTCATGCATGGATGGGGTCATGCATGGATGGGGTCATGCATGGATGGGGTCATGCATGGATGGGTCATGCATGGATGGGTCATGCATGGATGGGCCATGCATGGAAGGGTCATGCATGGATGGGTCATGCATGGATGGGTCATGCATGGATGGGTCATGCATGGATGGGTCATGCATGGATGGGTCATGCATGGATGGGTCATGCATGGATGGGTCATGCATGGAAGGGTCATGCATGGATGGGTCATGCATGGATGGGTCATGCATGGATGGGTCATGCATGGATGGGTCATGCATGGATGGGTCATGCATGGATGGGTCATGCATGGATGCGCAGGAAGTGTATGTGCGATGATTGAAGGATGCAGCTGGAAGGGCATGGAGGAGGTGCGCCAGTGCAGCAGTGCATGGTGCTGTGTGTCCCACCAGCACCCCGCCCATGCACCCATCCCCGCCCATGCACCCATCCCCGCCCCGGCCATATATCCCAACCCTCCCCGTCTCCCAACTTAACTGGAGAAAAGCATGCTCTCATGCCCCTCTCCCCCCCCCAACCTGTCGTGCGGGTGTGCTCCCATCCCCCTCTCCTCTCCCCCCCCCCCACCTGTCATGCGGGCACGCCACGATGTGCGGCGCTGCTCTCTCCATCGCCTCTGCCACCGCCGCTGCTGCTGCGAAGGCCTTGGATCGCACGTGCTGTCGCACGGATCGCCACTGCTGCTGCGACCACGCCTCCTGCGACAGCTGTGGCTGCGACTGTTGAGGCTGCGACTGCTCTGACGAATCGCAGCGGGATTCAAGCAGCGACGCGTCTTGCGACTGTGCGACGGCGACTAGACCCGCCACGTGTTCAGCGCGGATTGGGAACTCGTGCTGTGACAGCGTGCATCGCAGGCGACCCTCCGGCGACCATCCGAACCATCGCGCGTCGTCGCCCAACAGCGTCGCCAGCGCCAGGTCCGCCGTCACCGGCTGTCGCAACTGATGCAGGTCGTCGCACGTCGCACGGATGCTCGCCTGCTGCATCTGCAGTCGCTGGCACTCGCGTGCGTCGCCACGAGGTGGAGACGCGTCGCGCGGGCCAGAGAGACTGTAACGTCTGCGAAATCAACGAAGAGTTAAAAAGCAACTGCTGCGGTGCGGCTCTGAACAACCCCCGTTTTTGTCCAGCGGTCTGGGACGCGGCGCGTTACAGAGACTCTCCCAAAAGGGAAGAACGTATGCTTCGGACCGCTGCTCGCAGTTTGTCTGGCGCACAGCGCGGAGAAACAGCACGACAGCGAACGAAAGAGGAGTCTGACGAAGGAGAAGAAAAGGTCGCTCGGCAGGTAGACTTCAATTTTGAGCGCTTGCGATCCGTCCAGTGCTCGCAGGCAAAGCCGATCGTCCGACTGTGCTAGTAGGCGACGCGAGCGAGTAGCCGTTGTGCTGGAGAAGCGTCTTGCGCCATAAGGAACAAGGTTGGGATACGAGGGCGCGTTTACAGATCGAAGCTGGTATCTTTGAGCCGTCGTTTCGAACCTCCGGAACGCACCACGGCCCTTTCCCACGCGAACTCGCACCAATTGAAATCTTGGCGAAACAATAGCTATTGTTTCCTCCGCCCCTTCATTCTCCCGCACCACCGCCCCTCGCCCATCTCGCACCCTCGCGCATCCCGCACCTCCCCGAGCGGCTCGCTGCTTCACTCACGCGCCAGCACTGCTAGCCGCTGTTCGCATACCGTTCGCTCCCCCTCGCGACACGTCTGTCGTCCCACCGACACGACAACCTTACGGTTCCCGCCGATCCCGCCGATCCCGCCGACCTCGACGACCCTGACAATCCCGCCGACCCTGACGAGCCCGAGTGATAGACGAGGCGGACGAGCGGCGGCGTTGATCGTAATAACACGGTGACTTTTGAGTCTGACTCAAGAGTCGAGAGTCAAGAGTCACCTTGGTATCAGGCTGAGGAGGTCCCGAGAGACGTGCAGGTGGCGCGGCGGGGTGCCTTAGAGCCCTGTCCTTGCACACCGTGCGGCCGTGGATCCAACGGCGCACTCGCTCTCTGCCACCTCGTCTCGCCCAGCACAGTCCCACCCATCTCCTATCCACCCCACACAGCACAGTAGCAGCAGCAGCAGCAGCAGCAGCAGCAGCAGCAGCAGCAGCAGCAGCAGCAGCAGCAGCAGCAGCAGCAGCAGCAGCAGCAGCAGCAGCAGCAGCAGCAGCAGCAGCAGCAGCAGCAGCAGCAGCAGCAGCAGCAGCAGCAGCAGCAGCAGCAGCAGCAGCAGCAGCAGCAGCAGCAGCAGCAGCAGCAGCAGCAGCAGCAGCAGCAGCAGCAGCAGCAGCAGCAGCAGCAGCAGCAGCAGCAGCAGCAGCAGCAGCAGCAGCAGCAGCAGCAGCAGCAGCAGCAGCAGCAGCAGCAGCAGCAGCAGCAGCAGCAGCAGCAGCAGCAGCAGCAGCAGCAGCAGCAGCAGCAGCAGCAGCAGCAGCAGCAGCAGCAGCAGCAGCAGCAGCAGCAGCAGCAGCAGCAGCAGCAGCAGCAGCAGCAGCAGCAGCAGCAGCAGCAGCAGCAGCAGCAGCAGCAGCAGCAGCAGCAGCAGCAGCAGCAGCAGCAGCAGCAGCAGCAGCAGCAGCAGCAGCAGCAGCAGCAGCAGCAGCAGCAGCAGCAGCAGCAGCAGCAGCAGCAGCAGCAGCAGCAGCAGCAGCAGCAGCAGCAGCAGCAGCAGCAGCGCATGTCGTTGCATCGCGTGTGTCGCGGGTTTCTGCGCGCGGCCCGTGAGTCTGGAAGCACCCATGCGACCACGGGTCGTGCTGCCGCAGCACCAGGGCCTTCTGGAGCTTTTGAATATTCACCTGCGGAGATAGCAAGTGCTGCGAAGCATGGCACGGCGGCGCCGTGGCAAGGCCCAGAGGGGACAAAGGGCATTCAGTGGCCAATAGCAGCAGCGTGTGTGCAACCGCTGCGGCCCAGCACAGCAGCATGTGCGCACGCGCTCCTCCATGTGGTGTCACTGACACTGAGTAGTCATGCCCATCCACAGCCACAGCAACTGCTGCCCTGCGCCTCACCACTGCTTGCGAGCGCACGTCATGCTTCCAACGCCTGGACCTCCTTTGGGGCCATCCGAACGACGCCAGCCGTTGATTCTGTGCGCGGGATCTCAGCCGTCCGTTCAGCACCACCTCAGAGACCAGCTTTGCATGCCCAACTGGTCCCGGTGCTGCCTGCCCGGCTGCTGTCGACTGCTGCTGCAGGAACAGGTGAGAGGTGCTCGGTGCTACATCCGTGCCTGCCGTGCCTCCCCACCTCCCTCCCCCCCTCCCTCCCTCCCTCCCTCCCTCCCTCCCTCCCTCCCTCCCTCCCTCCCTCCCTCCCTCCCTCCCTCCCTCCCTCCCTCCCTCCCTCCCTCCCTCCCTCCCTCCCTCCCTCCCTCCCTCCCTCCCTCCCTCCCTCCCTCCCTCCCTCCCTCCCTCCCTCCCTCCCTCCCTCCATGCCTGTCTCCTCTCCTCCCTTCCTACGTCCATTCGTTTTTCCCCTCCTACCCTCCAAACCCCCTCCCGCCACCACCCCCCCCGGTTACCCCCTCTTTCGTCCTCTCGTCGCCCCATTTCCCCACTCGCATTCGCCTTCTCTCTCCACCAGACCCCAGACATGGCTCCTTCCTCTCAACAGCATCTCACCCCTTCAGTTGCACTGTCCACGACTTGGAATCCGTAAAGCTCTGCTCCACCCCCCTCTGCAACACTCGCCATTTCAAAACTCCGGCGTCTCTCTCACGCCACCATCGCAGTAGCAGCAGCATGCGTGGCAGACAATGTTACTGCTGCTGTTGCGACTCGGTCACTCTCCCCCATCACTTGCTCCCATTGCTTGTCCTTTCCTCTCCCTTCACTCCACTTGCACTCCACCCTCCCTTACTCCCTCCCACCACCACCACCAGCAGCACCCCCATCCCCCCCAAGGCGTTCGTGGCTGGCCGTGGCGCTGCTGCTGCTGCCGTGTGCCACTGCCTTTGGCCTCGGGGCCTGGCAGATCCAGCGCTACTACTGGAAGGTGCGTGGAAGGTGCACCGAAAGGTTCACTGTGTTTTTTTAAGGTACACTCCACTCATATCGATACGTGAGAGGAAGGTCAACAGATACTCCTGGAAGGTGCGTGGAAGGTACCGTACCAGGAATGTATGTCGAGGTATGTGGTGATTGTCATACGACTGGCCCCTTAGCATGCCCAATTCAGGGCCAGCCAACCCCAAGCTCTCTCCACGCCCAACCACCTCCTCCACCTCCACTCGCTTCCTTCCACATGCCCTTCCGTTACGTTCCCCTCCCTCCGCACCCATCTCACCTCGTTTGATTTTCTAGCATGTGCAATGGACATGACGTGAGGCATGGGCCGCACGCACCAAGGGCTGGCCCGTGCCGGTCCTGCTGCTGTGCCAGCCTGACCCGGCCCGTGCTCATGCCCGATCTCATTGCGCCCTTTCAGGGCTCGCCTGCAACGGCGGCTGCTCAGTCCCGAGCCGGCCTGTACTGATGTGCGATCTGCATGTCGATCCATCCGTTGCCCGCCCACCCTCTCACGCGCCCATCCCTCCAGCTGCACCTGGGTTTGCTTAACCTGCACGCCCACCCATTCATCCCGTTCCCGCTTGTCCTTGCCCGCTGTTCATCCCCCCAGCTGGATCTAGTGGGGCGGCGGCAGCAGCACCTGCAGGAGGCGCCAGTGCCACTGCTGAACGCCCTTCAGGCCCACGCACTTGCCACCGGGGAGGAAGCCACTAGGTCGGATCCGCCCTGGGCTGCTCTAGGCCCGATTCGCACGCCCATCTATCCCGTTCCCGCCTGTCCTTGCCCCCTGCTGCCCATCCCCCCAGCTGGATCTAGTGGAGCGGCGGCAGCAGCGCCTGCAGGAGCCACCAGTGCCGCTGCTGGACGCCCTGCAGGCCCACGCGCTCGCCACCGGGGAGGAAGCCGCACTGCCCCTGCTGCCGCCACCACCTGCCACATCACCAGCCGCTGCCGGGCCTCATGGGTCTGGCTCGGCAGCGGACGGGTCTGGTTCGGCGGCAGATGGGCCTGGTTTGGCAGCAGAGGGGCCTGGGTGGGCGGCAGGGGAGTTGGAGTTTCGGCGGGTGGAGTGTGCGGGGCGGTACGACGATGCTCGGTCGCTGTTTGTGGGGCCCCGGGCGCACACAGTGAGGGGCGCACAGGAGAAGGGGTACTTTCTTGTCACTCCGCTCGTCCCTCCCCCTGGCAGGTATGCGCATCCCTCCCTCTCCCTCGCCCCGTCAGTAAACCCCTCCCATTGCATGCCACCGCTGGCGCACATGGTGAGGGGCGCACATGGTGAGGGGCGCACAGGAGAAAGGGTACTTTCTTGTCACGCCGCTCATCCCCCCCTGGCAGGTGAGTGCTGCCCCCCGCTGGCGGAGATGCGTGTGCTCATTCCCCCCTGTCAGCTTATCCTTATCACTCGCTGGCAGCAGTTGCAGGAGGGATTTCGTTCTCCCACTTGGCAGGTGAATGATACGCCACACATGTGCACTGCAGCTCATGTGCTTCCCAGTGACCGTTTCCCGGGTGCACAGGAATAGGTCATAAGGCACATGTTGAAACCCCTCTGCCTGCCAGTCACCGCTCTCATTCCCAACTGCTGCTCTCCATGCCACCATTCCCCCATTCCCCCATTCCCCCTTGCCCCCATTCCCCTATTTCCACAACTCCCTAAGACCACATTAAAGCATCCCCTCGCTCCAGCTAGCAGTCTGCAGTGCTGGTGAACCGAGGGTGGGTGCCGGAGGCAGTGAGGCGAAACGTGCATGTTGAGTGCTCCCCCTGACTCTTCCTTTCCCCTCTGCTGTCCCCCCGTCCCCTCATCCCCCCGTCCCCTCATCCCCCCGTCCCCTCATCCCCCCGTCCCCTCATCCCCCCGTCCCCTCATCCCCCCGTCCCCTCATCCCCCCGTCCCCTCATCCCCCCGTCCCCTCATCCCCCCGTCCCCTCATCCCCCCGTCCCCTCATCCCCCCGTCCCCTCATCCCCCCGTCCCCTCATCCCCCCGTCCCCTCATCCCCTCATCCCCTCATCCCCCCCATCCCCTCATCCCCCCCATCCCCTCATCCCCCCCATCGCCTCTTTCCCCTTCTCCCCATGCAGCGAGCAGCCGGCAGTGCTGGTGAACAGGGGGTGGGTGCCGGAGGCAGTGAGGCGAGAGGCGGACACATGGATGGCGGGGGAGAGGGCGAAGGGGGCCGCAGGCGAGGCGGGTAAGGAGGAGGTTGAGAGCGGTGGCAGTGGGACGAGCAGGAGTGGTGGTGGCGGAAGCAGCAGCAGCGGTGACGTTAGTGAGAAGGGCAGCACGAGGGGGTGGTTTGGATCAGGGGGCGGTACAGCGCGTGCCTCAACCGGCGCTGGGACAGCACTTGGCAAGGTGAGGCTTGTTGCCAAAGCGTATCAGTTCATTTCATATCAGATCAGATCAAATCAGATCAGATCAGATCATATCACATCAAATAAAAATCATATCATATCTAATTGGAGCAGTCTTATGAGACTGGGATGGGATGCATGCAGATTAACAGTCGCTCTTCCCCTGTCCATGTTGTATGCACTTCGCACCACTTGTCTCTTTTCCTCCTTCCACTATCTCCCCTCTTTGGTGATGGCGCGGCCACTTCTCACTGTGTGTCGGGTGACAACCCAACCACTCAATGCAGCCCAAGGGGCCGGAGCATGAGGAGTGGTTGCGGTGGTCATACATAGAGCTGGTCTCTCCCCAACCATCTGCTCCGTCCTATGATCCAGGTGTTTGGCATGGTCCTACCCAGCACTAGCCAGCACAAGCCAGCAAGAGCCCTAGTGCTGCTGAATGGCCTGCAGCACTCAACTCAACAGTTGTTTTCTGTCTAAATAAGCTCTTTTCAACTCCATCTCCTCCGTTACACGCAGCCCAACAACCCCCCTGTGAACCGCGTGTGTGGCATTGTCCGGGCCAGCAGGAACCTCTAGTACTCAAAACCGCCCAATGCCCAGAACACTGAAGGCTTGCTGTTTGAGGAGTCACTCTCTCCCTCTCCGTCTCCTCCTCCCTTCCACGCAGCCCAACGCCCCTCCTGTGATTCGTGTGTCTGGTGTGGTCTGAGCCAGCGTGTACCCCAACTACCCAGTGTCCCAACCGGTTAAAGCACTTAACAGTTGCTGAAGTCTTGTTTTTTCCCTCCCCGTCTCCTCCCCTCCACACAGCCCAACGCACCTCCTGTGATCCGCGTGACTAGTGTGGTGCGAGCCAGTGAGAAGCAGAACCTCTTCAAGAGAAGTGGTGCCTTTTCCCTCCCATCTCCTTCCTCCGTTCCATGCAGCCAAGTCCCCTGTGATCCGTGTGTCTGGTGTGGTGTGAGCCAGTGAGAAGCCGAACCACTTTGTGCCGCCCAATGGCCGGAGCACTCAAGCTGCTGTTTGAAAATGTGCCCACTCCCTTCCTATCTCCTCCTTCCTTCCATCAGCCCAGCACTTCCCCTTGCAATTCCGGTGTCCGGTGTGGTGCGAGGCAGTGAGAAGCCAAACCACCGAGTGCCGCTTAATCGCCTGGAGCACTCACCAATTGCTGTCTAAATAGAAGGCGCTCGTTCCTTTTCCACCTCTCCCCTCCACACAGCCCAACGCCCCTCCTGTGATCCATGTGTCCGGGGTGGTGCGAGGCAGCGAGAAGCCGAACCACTTTGTGCCGCCCAACGCGCCGGAGCACGGCGAGTGGTTCTGGGTGGACGTGCCTGCCATGGCCCAGGCCTGTGGCCTGCCACGTGGCACTCTGCTATTGGACGCCATGAAACCAACCGAGGACGAGGAGGATGAGAAGGAGCGTACGTCGGACAGCAACAGCAGCAGCAGCAGCGGGCAGGCGGGTGTCTGCCCTGCATTCTACAGCGACCCACGCTTCCCTCGCCCCAAGGACCCGGAGGAGCTCGTGAAGCTGCCAGTCATGCCCACCGACCACATCACCTACGCTGCCACCTGGTGAGTCGTCCGCCGCCAAAATTTCAACGTTCTTCTGCTATAATTCATCTCATGACTTACAACAAGGTAACAACAAGGTTATGTTTGACTTTTACCTTTCCTAGGTGGATATGTAGTGATGTTGCACCATCTCCTCCATTCTCCCCCTCGTGCTCAGGTTTTCTCTCTTCACAGCCACGTCAGTGATGGCTTACAAGCGCCTTCGAGTCGTGCCCAAGAAGGTGCGCTAGGCAACAAGGCAACAAAGCCTCTTGTGTGTCCTTGTGGCAAAACCTTGTGTACGGTACAAAAGGCAGGAAGATGTATGATTTTAGTGGTGTTAGTTGTTGGAAACAATAAGTCCTAAGTGCGCTTCTGTCGTATCAAAATCCAAGGTACCAAGCGAAGCAGTCCCAATCGAAGCATCGAGTCAACCTCGGAGGTTAGGGTAACCGCCTGGAGGTTACGAGAAAGTCAAAGGTCGCTGACCTTTGACTCGACAATTACAGCGCGACAGTTAAGGACACACAACTGACTCGTTACAGAGCAGTTGCCCGAGTCGCGCTATATCGAACCGCAACAGCAATACAGTTATCTATTCCCTGTACTCTTATATAAATCCTTGTATTTGCTTGTTTAATTCAATCAACTTTGCTCTCACACACCAGTGCAAGGTCGGTTCAAATTCTTCACTAAACGCTTCCGCTATTACAACTACTTCACCTAGAGTTATCCCTTGCAAAGATCCTAAGGGGCTATCTCAGCCCAACATGGTATGAGAGCAGACAAGGGAAACTCTACTCTTTTTTCAATATCATTACAAGACATGGCAACAAACAAGGAAAGGAGCTCCCCTAATGGCTCCTCGGGCACTACTCCTACTCCACCGTCAGCCTCTGGCCTGCAGACAGAAGAAGGCACGGCAACAAGACCAAGAGGAACGTCAACCGAGACCCCCATGAACCACCCTTCGGACTTTGACCAGAACATGATGGAGAAATTTTTCTCCTTCATGTCCTTCTACGAACAACACCAGCAGTCGGGACCTGCACAAACACACAACAGCAACAACGGAGCGACACCCATGAGTCTTGATGGGTCGTCATATGCGCGAGGAAACCAGCAGCAGCAACCTACCTTTGCTCCGTACGAGCGCGGGTCAATCAGCTTCGTGCCCCACCCGCAACCTTCACCTGGACAAGAAAGACCACTGGACGCACTTCAAGTTCAGTCGCAGTTTGCACACGTCTTAAAACTGCAAACGTCAAGACCCTTCGACGGCAAAGACTTCTTTACCTGGTCCTTTGAATTCGAGCTGATGATGGAGGGCGCGCAGATACTCGGCTTCTTCGACGGGTCCCTGCAGTATCCAGCCAACGGGACACAATATGAAAAGCAGCAGTATATGTATCAATCAATGATGGCGTATACAATCCTATTGAGGAATGTGACACCAACTCAGCAGCAGAACATTCGCTCTTACCGGACCTTCGGCAACTCGGCGGAGCTCGCGTACAGCCATCTGAAGAACCTGTATCAAGCAACAGACAGTGTAAACCAGAGCAGGTTAATGGCGCAGTTGACGACAGTCGAAATGAAACCAGGAGAAAAAGGACTGGCGTATATCAGCCGATGTCGCGAACTGCGCGACAAGCTGCTTCGATGCGGAGGGTCAATCTCTGAAGACGCCTTCGTGACAGTCATCATTGGTGGGCTTGGTCCTCAGTGGCGCGCCACCAAAGCCATTCTTCGAGCCCACGGAAGAATCTCTGAAGCTGCACTCTGCGCCGAAATACATGCCGAGCAGCAAGATATGGACCTGCAGGAAGAACGACACAGGAAGAAAACGACAGTATCAGAGTTCGCATTCCACACTCAACGACGACACAGCAATTATAACAACCGACAGCAGCAACCGAAGATAGTACCTCCCTTCTGCCACATCTGCAAGACTTCAGGGCACCCGCGCACACACTGCCCGAATCGTCAGCAATCAACGGCACCACAGCGACAACTTCGACCTTCAAGCTCCCAAATGGCTTCAACACAAGCAAGTGCGACGACCACTATTCAAGCTTCAACGACTTCACCCGGACAACCTGCACAAGGAGCAAGAAATATAATCAACTGCATGACGAAGATAACTGATTCATGTACAACCGAATCACCACCACACTACTCACCGGAAGAAGAGCTTGACAACAGAACGCCTCGCCGTGAGCTACTCCAGCCGAATCCAACGTACGCCGCCATCGCTCAAAGTGAACCGTCCGGCCAAGACACCTGGTTCTTGGACAGTTGCTGCGGGCAACACATGTGCTCGTCCGGGCGTTTCGTACAACGCGAACATCGACTCCAACGGGAAGTGATCATCACGGTTGCCAACAACCAAAACCTGCGCACACGAAGACAAGGAGTGGTACAGCTTCAGTCAAGAGAAACAAATGTCATACTGCACATGTCTAAGGTACTCATCGCTGAAGGACTCGGCTACAACTTACTGAGCGTTAGCCAGTTGATGGCGAAAGGAATTCATCTGGAAGCCGACAGCACGACCCAGGAGTTCAAACTTTACCACGGGAGAGGCGGTCTCTACATCGGGAAAGCAGTGCTGAAGAACAACGTCTTCGTCCTCGACTTCGTTCCTGACCTGGGCACTGCAGACAGCGACGCCATCGTGAATTTCACTGACTGGACACACCCTCCGGATCTCGACCCCGACTTCAGCCCAGGAGGCTTCTGGTACTCGCACACCATTCCTGAAGCAGAACGAACACGAGCATTAGCAACAATTCGACAATCGGCAGCAGTAACAACATCGGCAGCAGCAACAACATCAGCAGCAGTAACAACATCGGCAGCAGCAACAACATCAGCAGCAGTAACAACATCGGCAGCAGCAACAACATCAGCAGCAGCAGGAACAACGACACCAGTCATAGTCGACGAAGCACCACCAACACCCGCGAAACAGCTGAATCCGACTCAACGTGAAGTCCACCGAAGCGCCAACCTCGTCGCCAGTTTTTACTCCAACTCCGACGCATATCAGCGTTCACCTGGACACCGTGCCTCTGAAGAGATCTGGCACGCACGAACAGGACATCCAAGTAACACGGTTTTGAATAACACGATAAGAGCAGGAGTCCTTGACAAAGATTCTCTACTTCTACCCGATGGCAGAGAACTCCAGAAGGCACGAGGGACTTGCCTTATATGTCCCGAAGCTGACTTACCTCATCGACCGTTTGCTTCACATCACAACCCGAGCGCTCCAGCGTACGCACCACTCGAAAAAGTCTACAGCGACATCCTCTACAATCGCGAGCCAGGACAAGTCAACTACAACTACACCATCACCTTCATCGACGCCGCCACTCGATACGTCTGGCATCGCAACCTACCCAGCCGCGACATGGCGCTCGCAGCATTCGCCGCCTGGCTACCGATAGCAGAGAGAGAGTCTGGAACACAACTGAAAAAATTCCAGTCAGACGGAGGTGGCGAGTACACCTCTCACCGCTTCAAGCAGTTCTTGGCGGAAAGGGGGATCAAGCAACTCCTCTCCCTTCCTTACGCACATCAGCAGCAAGGTGTTGCAGAACGACTGAACAGGACCCTGCAGAACAGCATGCGCAAACTATTACGTGGCATGCGGCTACCCAACCACCAGTGGCCAGCAGCAATGGACCACGCTGTCATGCTACACAACTTGTTGTCGTCGTCGTCACTCCCGAACAACGCATCACCGCATCTGCTGTGGACAGGGAAGCAGGGCAGCACGAAAATGTTACGAGTTTTCGGGTGCATGGTACAGTACAGACCCCCAGAAGCACGAGCGGGAAGATTTTCGCAACGGGCACAGTGGGGACTACACCTCGGCACCGAGAAAAATTACAACGCATGGAAAATCTTCGACGTCCACACAAAGGAAACAGTAGCAGCACGTGACGTGATCTTCTACGAAAGACTCACCCTTCAGACGTACCTCGCCAACTTGCACGAGAATCGGGACCTCACCAGTGGTTTTCGTGGTGACCGAGCCTTCGCGTCAGCAGCGGACGAAGCAGACTGGGATGAACAGAACGTCGACAACGCCTCAGAAGAAGCCGGACCTCTCCCATACTGCTCCGTCGACGTGCCCATGGATGAGGATAATCCTCGCGACAGTAACAACGCCGAAATCTTCTACCGTTTCGCCGACGATGGTTACGTAACACCTGTGACAGTCAACACCAACGAAGCAGAAAGGGTAGGGCCACATTTCATGCCCGACCCAGAAACGGGAGACGAAGCAGCTTATCCCGAGGATCCAGAACTCCCTCGATACTCACAGACTGGGCTGCAAATCCTCGGCCTCGTCACCGCAGTCCACGGGAACACACGCAGCTCGCTTCCTAAGGAGCCTGCAACGGTTCAGCAGGCTCTGGGGGGGGAACACAGGGAGAAATGGCGTGAAGCCATGGATAGAGAACTGAAGGCATTAGAGGAACGCAACACTTGGAAGGTTGTTCCCGTAAGCGTGGCACGGAACAAAACCATCCTTACCGGGAAATGGGTCTTCCGCATCAAGACGAAAGCAGACGGCACGATCGAAAAATTCAAAGCACGCTGGGTCGTACGTGGATTCGACCAAGAGCAAGGACGAGACTTCACCGAGACCTTTGCTCCAGTCAGCCGCCACACGTCACTCCGAATTCTCCTCGCCATTGCCGCCATGAAGAAGAAGAAGTTACGGCAGATCGACGTCGCGAATGCCTTCCTCTACGCACCTGTGGATGCAGAAATCTACGTCGAGCTCCCGCACGGTTCCCACGGCGAACCCAACCGAATCTGTCAACTACTTAAGTCGCTCTACGGGATCAAGCAGGCACCGCGACTGTGGCAGCAGTACCTGCACGCCCGTCTCATCCGCATCGGCTTTAGTCAACTACCTCACGACCAAGGCATGTACCGCCTCACTAAGGGAAGCGACTACGTTCTCCTGATCGTCTACGTGGACGATCTCCTCTACATTGGGTCAACCGACGGCATCGCCACGTGGTTCGAAGGAGAGCTCCAGAAAGACCTCACGCTCACGGTCTCCTCCACCGTTACACAGTACCTCGGGCTCAACATCCGCGAAGAAGAAAACGCCATCTATCTAAGCGCCGAGAAATACGCCGACACCATCGCGAAACGTTTCAGCCTCACACCAAGCGCCATCTCCACGCCCTACCGCTACACATCAGGAACCGAGAAGGAACGAACT